CTGCTACTGCTACTGCTACTGCTACTGCTACTGCTACTGCTACTGCTGCGACGACGACGCCTCCGACTCTGACTCCGACTGCTGCGGCTGCTGCTGCTGCGGCGACTACTGCTACTGCTGCTGCTTTTAGAACTGTCAAGCGGATTTGAGAATTGCATTTGACGTTCGAAGAAATGTCCTGAAACAAACCTTCCATCTCTGACCAATGTGGTGGTTGTGGGGAACTTTCCGGTCAGGAGCCACCCTGCTTTGTTACCCAGGATGCATTTTGGTTGCAAAGTTCGGAATCTGAAGGCATGGAGAGGGCTTTGCATAAGTGTAGCATTGGCTTGTCTGATGACCAAACTATTTGAAGACTGTTGGGGTCTGTTGTCGGGACCTGCTGTTGACAGGCAGGGTCGTTAACTTTGAGGTTACGAAATGCTGAGGTCTGCATACCAAACCAAAATCATCTTAAAAACATCTGCTACTTGAGGCATCTCAAGTTCACGAAAGGCGCTGTGCCGGTATATACTTTAGTTTTTGCAGTGCAGTTGCTTTTTTCTAAGTGCTGGAAGGGTGGTCCCCAAGTCTTCGTTGCATTAAGGACAAACGACTCTATATAGAGTCGGCAAACTGTTGTGCATTCTTTTTCACACCAGCCTAGCTTGCGACCAAATAAATTTACTGTCCTGCATCTGAGGCTCAACTGACTCAGTAGACTCAATGACATGAAAAGCATTGAAAAGCTATTATTATCGAAGGCACGACACTCAAAGAATGGCAAGCAGCTTCAATGAGACCGAACAGTTGTTTCTTGGGTTGTTGGTACTCCTAGCTAGGCCAGAGCTAGGGACGAGCTGAATGTGGGGCATAGGAAAACCTTCGGCTCTGAAGCATGGTAGAGCATGGAGAGATCAGGTAGGTTGGGACTACCTTTTGTGATTGACAGCTTGAACTGCAAAGCATGCTGTGGGCCTGCCTGGATTTGTCCTTTAGCTTCAAGCATGGACTTGCCATTCCTCAAATAGCAAAGACGCTGGCAGAAAGAACCACAGCTTGACTGTACCAGCCACTGGCTCACAGGGTCCACTATACGCATCAATTACATTGTCTTATCGTGGATCCAGTTGAGAGTCACAGACCATGCAACAAGAACAAACCTCTGCGCCAAGTAGCTCGATGGGCTGCTCGACCTTCCAATCCTTGGAGTCACAACCCGACGTGCCCACAGAAGCCTTTGAGGCCCGACCCGAGGCCTGGAGTCACTTAACGGATTGTGAAGCGTTTGGATCAACGATCTCGATGAGTCGCCAAATTAACCTGGCTAGAGGAGCGGAAATGGACAACAAACCCCTCCAGCCTTCTCTGAGTGTGTGTGCGCATGCCCAGAATGAATACAAGCCACAAGCCACCAGGTCGAGCAGTCGGGTGGTGTCAAACATTAATCTAGACAAAATTCTAGCTTAGCAGGTGCTGGTGGCAGTGAGTTGCACGTGATAGATGCAGCACTATGTCCAGTCCCGATGTTGCAAGTTACATTTGCGCTGGGCGTCCAAGTCGATCTTCAACTCGAAAATCGGCTGCGGCTGCCCCTTCTTCACCGCCAGCGCGCAGTCCCCACGCGGCTCAACTCGAAAGAAGCCTAGGCAGCGGAAGCACCTATAGATCATTACCGTTTTAAAAATGAACAGTAGCCGAGGCTCAAACCAGAGATTGTGATTCTAGCCCCTGCAATTCTACATTAATATAGACAAAAGTATTGAAAGCGTGTTGAATAACTATTTTATGTCAGAATGGATGGGTGATTGGGAAGTTCTGTGCAATTGAATGGGACTCGCAATTTGGTAAATGAACCCCCCCAAAACCCAACAGCTCCGGAACAAACTAAGGCTTCGAGTTATGGGTCACACCTGCCAACTGCGAAGGTCGGTCGATCTTGGAGTCTTGAATTAGGGCACTCAGTTCCAAACTCGGCCCATCTGCGGGACTCAAAAGCAACACGTTCGACCGTTCGACTCACTAACTCCGGCCTATGACACAATATGAACCAATGCAACTCCAAGACTACAAGACCATTGAAGACAAGAAGCTACTAACAAGGGCACCGCTACTAGCAGCAAGGTGCTTTACTACTATATAGTAGTGTGGACAGCGAAGCTCAAACCACGGCAGCTAGCGGATCTTTTCCTGCTTCCATGAACGAAACGCTCAAAGTACGGGTAACAGTCAGGGCCCCTATGGTTTGGGCCATACGGCCAGCACATGAAGAAGGTCAAACCCTACACGTTCCGCAGGTCTCATGTTCACAGCTCCCCAAAATTCTGTTGACCTTCTTCGATCCCGACCGGATCTCGGCATTCGTGCCACCGAGTTCTCGAAACTCTTTCCTCTGGGCCAAACTTTCAGGAAAAGACAATGCCAAAAGTCCCGGAGGACAGCAAATCAAACAAGTCTTTCGTTGATCCCTTGACCTTCGTAGCCATAGCTGGATGATCAACCCAGCGGAGGTTTCCATTGAGAAGTTCCATTTCTTCTCTTATGATCTGAATTTCTATGGCCGTTCGCTTGTCACTTCCACCAATGGTCTCCTTGGCCAAGTAGTCGTAGAGGCTTTTTGCATCCACGATCACCAGACATTCCTTCAGTGTCTGGTCTGAAGTGTCCACTGCCTTTGCAATGATTTCTTCCTTTGCCATCTCTGATGGCCATTCCTTTATGTTGAACTTTTCTTCATTCATCTCTCGAAAAAGGATCTTCATCCAAAGCAAATCTCCGATGCCCTTTGAGAGCGATTGCGTCTCTGCTGCTAAAGTTGAGTTTACAACTCCCTGCAGCTTGGCACTCCTCCACCATAGTAGGTTCGTTCGAACCCTTTTTCATCTTTTTCCTTCTTTCAAACCTGGCTCGTGCGCCAAGATCATCTGTCCTCCTTGCGAGTGCAGCGAGGCGTTGCCGAAAGATGCACCTGCCATCACTGCGAGCTGCATGTCCTTTAGAGGTTGTATCTTCGGAGTCATTTCTGACGAGGCTTTGAGTCTTCGGATCACATCGTTCAATTTGACGAGATCTTTAACCTTCATGCGACGCAGCCGAGAGGACATCAGGCTTGAAGGTCCAGCAGCGTCTGGCCTTCCTTCCTTTGACAGCCAGTTGAGCGAGCCGCGTGCCGCTCTGGCTTGTTTTCTTTCTTCTTCTGTCGCTCCCTCCTTCCTTTGACTCCTCCGTCCTGGAACTGAATTTCATCTAGCCTTTCTTCAATGAACTTCGTCATGTCGATGAGGAGTCCACCGCTTTCTTCTCTTTGAATCCTTCCTCCGTTGAAGGCAGTTCCTTGTGCTTCTTCTTTCAGGTTCACCCACTTACCAAATTGGTAAATGGACCGAAGCTCATCCATTTTCTTTAGATGGAATCCCTTTCCACAGGCTAGGAGGTCATCTACCTCAATCACTATCATGGTGGTGGGTTTTCCTCCATCATAGAGCTTGTACAGGCATGGGTCCATTCGACTCTCCTTGTAGCCCAGCTTTGATAGTGTTTCAATCAATGACCTTCTCCAATGTAATGGGCTGTCTCCAATGTAATGGGCTGCCCACCAAACCATAGCACCCATTCACGATCACAACAATCTGTTCTGGGCGCATACCGGCTATTCCTTCTTTCGGCCGCTTGAAGTACAAAGCTCCATTCTTCCTTGTCAGAGGTTTTGACTGACAAAAAGCATTCTTCAGGTCTGCCACCTCGATTTCCATCACAGAATCCTTCCCTCAGAATACTGAGGAAGTACAAGCTCTCGGACCAGCCAAAGGAGCCCACCATTAGAAAGAGCCGTCTCTGCATTAGAGGAGACAAGGACCCCGACATCCTAGAGCTTGAAAGGTTCTCACCCACCGTGAACACGATGAACCTCAACGTCATGCTGCAATTGGCAGTAAACGCTGACCATTTCGCCTTCTTCTGAGAGCTTCCTTTTGACTTCTCTTGATTCTTCCAAGCTCAGAACTTGAACTGCACCGCTGGAACAAATCTTGCCCCATTCTCCTGCATCTGCTATCTTCCATAGTTCTTTGGATTCTTCATCTTCTTCATTCAAAACCACTTCTTCTCTCGTGGTTGCCCAAACCTCTAAGCTTCTTCCTTTTTCCTGGCGCCAAGTCTTGAGTTGGAACTCCGTTCTTCCTTTCCACCAAAACCCTTTGCTCTTTGTCTTGGGCCTTCCACTTTCCATTCTTCATCTTTCTGCTCCTCTTCCTCTTTGCCGTCTTTCTTCATCATGTACGTGTGTCTGCGTTCATGGAGCATCCCAACAGCCATTGGTATGTGCTTGACCAATGTTGGGTTGAACAGCGTCTTCCTCTTCTGTACATGATGTCGGATCAATCTTCCTTTTACCGGGTCTATCTCCCAGTAGTCTCTTTTTGGCTTTTCTTTTTCATCTTTGTACTCCTTCTTGCTTGCTCTATCTCCTCTTCATCTTCTTTGGTGAGGTCCTCATCTTCTTTTTCAAACATGCACTCGGAGATGTATGGTTCTCCGGGATTTCCACAGGCACTTGGGACAGGAATGGCGTCAATCCTCCAGGATCTGGCTATGGATTCATCCATTGTTCTCCTGAAGTCTTCTGCGTCGGTCCTGAGAGGCGTTGCTCTTGTTGCTGTGCCTTCTGATCCTTCACCGGGAGTTGCATGAGGCCCCCGGCTTTGCACAGTTGTTTTTCTGGACATCTCAGCTTCTGGTTCCTCTTCAACTTCGGAATAGAAGGAGTGTATTCTTCAACTCCCTCGATTGTGTGTTCTTCTTCTTCTATCCTTGGCACTGCGTTTCTTCTTCCTCGTCCGGTTTGATGTTCATCTTCATCCTCAGAACCCGTCTCCCGAGGCTTTTTTCTTCCATGATCTTCTCCTTCCTTCTCTTCATCATTGTCTGGCCACGCCTCTTCGCGTATATCTTTGTAGCCCTTTCGATTGCCCGATCTCTTGTACTCTTCAATGAGTTCACGGCATCCTCTCATCACTTCATCTATTCCCATCTTCTCTGAGTTGGTGGCTGGTCGACATCGATCCTTTGCCGCTCGCCAGAGTTCTCCAAACATAGACATCCACAGGCTTGCTCCATCTGGAGTGATCACAGTACCTGGTCCAATCCAGGTGTGTTTCTTGGGTTGTCTTTCCAACGCCGGCATGTCATGCTTTCTTTTCGTCTCGCGAGGCAGCCTGTAGACATAGACGTAGTCACCAGCGGTGAAGTCGTAGTTGGTCTTGCCTCGAGCATGTTCAATTCTTTTCAATGCCTTTCAAGCGTTGTACTCTATGAATGCCTTTTGTGCAATTCTCCTCATCTCATGTATCCTTTCAATGTCATCCACCACCGCGCCATCCAGTAGTCCAGCATCTACCATTTCATCGGACAGCAAGGTGCTGGGAACTTTTGGACATTGTCCAATCTGTCTTTGTATTGGTGCAAATCCCGACCGGTTGCTAAACCGGTTCTTTGTCATTTCAACCTCCTGCATCAGCAGCTTGAGTTCTTCAGCCGAGTCGATCACCGTTTCGTCTCGGCTTGTCTCCAAGAGATAATTGAAGTGTGCTCCATGTCTTTCCGTCTTTCCTTGCTGCCATGGCGCTTTGCTTGCTGTCGGCTGAGTCACCGGACCATGACTTGCTGCATATTCCATGAACCTTTTGGAAAACTCTTGTCCTGGGTCCGTGATGATCACGTCGGGCATACCGAGGGTCCTTGCCCATGTAGACCAAAAGGCTTGCCAGATCGTTTCTGGTCTCTTGTCTTCTAGCTCTCTCGACAGCCTGGTAGTTGCTGCCCCAGTCAACGATGGATAGAGCGGGAAACTGCCGATGTCCCCCAACATCAGGGAGGTAGATCAGATCGACGCCGATGACTTTGTTGGGCTGGTACGTCCTGGGCATCGCTGCTCTTCTGACTGCCTTTGGTTTTGACTTGGCCTCACAGGCGGCGCATCGAAACTCCTGATGTGCCCAACGTATCACTTCCGGGCGTATTCTGGCAGCTTTCATGAACCTTATAAATTCTCCTTGCGCCGGATGTCCCAGTCCTTTATGCAGTTTGAGGACCATTCTTTTGTCGTCTTCATTGACTGCCCCTTTTCCTTCCGTTTCTCCTCTGGTTTCCGGCTCTTCTTGGATCTTTTCTTCTGTGGCTTCCATTTCTTCTTCCTCTTCTTTCTCCCTCCTCCAATGCATATGCCTCTTCGTCCGGATTTCTTTCATCTTCATCTTCTTTAATTTGATCTTTGATCCCTTGGACGATCGCCCGGCATAATTCTGGAGGGTATTCTTGCGCTTTCTTTCCGAGCCCGTTCATGACCGGCGCATGAAAGTGGTCCTTGCTGCACTTTCTCTGAAGTCGATATGCCAGGTGTTCTGAGTTCACCAGGATCGCCGCGGGCTTCTTGTTCAAACGTCTTCCATCTACGTTCAGCCCATAGGCACATTGATCCAGTGTCTCATACAGGACTCCCTCCGTCTCTTTCAGCTCCTGGACGCATTCTTCTTGCCATGATCTTGCTTCCTTTGGCTGCTCGAAGACGAAGAACTTGTTTCTTCGAGGTTGCCATTTGGCTACCTCTATGGCCAGCTCAAGATAATGCAATCCCACCTGTATGAGCCTTAAAGCCTTCGATTCATTCATCTTGGGCAGATTGAGCTCCTGGATCATCGTGAAGGCAGTGCACGGAGGACAAATGACAATCAAATATGGATCGTCTTCTTTGAGTTCCTTCCACATTTTTCTTCTGTCTTCTTCTTTCGTCAGACCCCATCCCGTCTTCAGGTCGTAGTGATTTCCGCCTCTGAGTCCAAACTTCTTTCCAACTTCAGAGACCCTGGGTGGGCTGTACAGCTCGCCAATCTTTGGTGCTTCATTGAAACTTGCATAAACTGCCTTCCTTTCTTTTCTGCTCAGTTGCTTCTCCTTGGTGAACTCAATCTTCACTCTGACAGGTCGCTCTTCTCTCAAAGGAACAAGTCCTTCTTTGGATCTCCATTCTTGTTCTGCATATACTTCATAGTTCCGTTCGGCATCGTATCTTGCATCTTTGTTCATTTGCATCTAGTCTTCTTCTGCCCTTTTCGTGTCCAGCCATAGCCCATCCTTCTTCTTCAGGTTCTTTAACTAGTCGCTGTCGATCATCTGAGGCACCGGACCTCTGCAGCGAACACGCTTCGCTCCGTCCTCGGACTCTTGCTCCTCCTTCGATTGCCGGTGGTACTCGGTGTGGCTGGGGATGCCGCGATCAGTGCTTGGCTGTGGGCTTGGAGTCCTCGGCAGCCATTCGAAGAACTGGCATTCTCTCTGCATGCACTTCCAGAACTTCCTGCCTTGCCTTGGGCCTTCCTTCTTCACCTTTAGCAGTTCCGCTGGCTTGTGGCAATGACACATCTTCATGTTTCGGCTTTGCGCATTCTGTTTGATGCGGTCCAGTTCCTTCTGAAGTTCTGCTGCCTGGATCTGTGCTGTTTCCTGTGCTTGACGGCTGATCATCAACTGCTTCAGGGACATCTGTTGTTGCTCTTCCAGTTCTAGGATCCTCACTTCCGATTTCTTCTATTCTTCCTGTATCATCTTTCTGACCTCCTGCACGGTCATAGCTTCGGCCGTCTTCGAGGCCTCCAGTCTTGGATCCTTCTCCTTGTCCGCGTCCGTTTTCTTGATCTTGTCGATGGGGTTGATGGCGCCGTCCTCGATCGCCTGGTACTTTCCTTTGTACATGTGGCTCGAGGGGCCCTTTTTCTGTCGCTCTCCCGAATCGCCCGTCAGCTGTGACACATCCTGCACACCACATACGAAGCGCTGCTGTTCCCTCCACCCTTGAGATGGTTCTTTGGGTGGATACACGTACTGGCCGAGGTCTGTGGCTTTTCCTTGGACTTCAAAGGGGGCAAAACTCTGGCTTCTTGGATAACTTTGGCATACACGTCCTCGATGGTTTCCTCCTTGGATGTAGGCATAGATGGCCCCGAAAGTGAGGAGGCATTTGGGAACCACTCTTGAACGATTTGCTGTTGGCTCACGAACCACAGCAGCGTGTAGATCTTGTCCAGGAAAACCCGCCAGTTCCGAATTGCTTTCTTTGGCCAACGCGCACTGAATTCCGGCGTCGGATGATCTTTCTGCTCTGGCTCCTTTTTCATGCCCGCCGTCAGCTTGCCCATGCGGTCCAAGATGCCCGACATAGCGAGAATCGTCAAACGAGTGTCTCTCCAAGACGGGGCTGACTGAAGGCGATCTCCTCAAAAGATTGAGCCAGCATTGCTCGTGTTTGAAAAGATCTTTGAAAATGTTCAGTCTTGCAGGGTGCGTTTGAATCAGCAACATAGAACCCTTCTTTGTCAAAGTTGTTGATTTCGATTGTGAGGTGTCCCGAGCTCATTTCATGCATGGGGATGTGAATCTTCTCCTCTGGGAGGATCAACATGTTGGTGTGGAGGTTGATGATAGCTTTCAAACCTTTGAGCATGCGAACAGGTAAAAGAAGAGGAACTTCTCCATCCACCACTGTTGTCTCCAAAATTCCATTCAAACCTCCTATTCCGAGTGGAATAAAAACAACCCCTGCACTTTTGCATTGCCCCCGACCCCCTTGGCTGACAACACAAATCAAAATCTGCCAACGAATCTTCTAACCTCTTCAAAGCCTGTGAACCTATCAAGCCTCCTTCAGCGGCAGTATCAACAACTCCATGCTGTGCTTTTGTTACAATGCCAAAATCGGTGTCTCTTCAAGCTGCGCACCCTTGTATCGCGATGAGGCCGATGACTGCAGGTCGTCGGAATGATTCTTCTTCCGATCCTGGACAAATTGACGCAGCCAAAAATCATGCTCCTCTGATGCATCTGCATTGGGCTCTTCTGAGAGGCTGCTAAGGAAAATCTCTGAATCGGGCCGTCAGTCTTCACTTGGACCGGAAACCACAAAGAAACCTGATTTCGTAGATGTAGATGAAGAATTGGTGGGTGCCTGACTGCTTGCTCCTTTTCCACGATCTGCGGGAAGGTTAGCGCATTCACGGCTGACGTGCCCTATAGCACCGCATCGCCAGCATCTTGTCCTCAATTTGAGTTGTTCAACATGTACTCGATGCTTTCCTTTTCCTTTGAAGCCCTTTCCAAAATGGTGGCCTCCTTTTCCTTTGGGAAAGTATCCTCTTCCATTCCGTTGGTTTCGAAGAGCTTCCCGGACCTCCTTGTAGCTCGCCAGGGCGGCGTTCACATCCTCTTCTTCCATCACTTCATTCAAATCACCCTCTTCGATGTAGACGAAGTTCTCGTCCTCATCGTCGAGAAGGTCACCGGTATCATACTCTGGAACCTCTTCGAACTCTGGGATGAAGTGAGATTTGCCACCCTTCTCTTTGATCACCTTGTCGAGCTTCCGGATGGCCTTGGTGATGGTGTTCTTATCATACTTGCCATCGCACCAAGTTAGCAGTCTTTGATCTTGGCCTTCCGTCAGCGAGGCCTGTCGGTACATGATGTACCCAGTTGCCCCGTCCGGCAAAGAGACTCCCTCCTTGGACAAGCGGCTGAAGTTCTTTTCCATCCTGACCAGGTATTCTACGAAGCTTTCGGATGACTGCCTTGGTTTTCCATACACGGCAGTCTCAAAGGCCCGGGGAAGGCTTACCTCCAGGCGGGAGGAAAAACTCCTTCAACTTGTTCATGGTGTTTCGAACTCCATCTTCTGTGGTTATCTCTTCAAAAGTCTCTTCAAAGTCCATGTCTTCTGTCGCGGGCTGAGCGGTTCCGGTCAAGGCTCGCAACAGCTTTGCTCCTCTCCGATTCCGGGGGATATCGGATTCATGCTCCCACAAACGGACATTCTTCTCGAATGTCTTGAATGTGCTGTCAGGGTCCAAACCATCCCAGGTGGGGGGTGGATCACGGTCACGATACCCCTCTCGATCTCGTGCTATTCCACCTCCATTATCCCCGGCATACGAACGGCTGGCAGCACCCCCAAGCTCATGTAAACCCGTTCTTCGCCCGGCTCTGCTCTGACTGGTCGCCTCTCTGAAGTCGTCGTCCGACATGTCAAGTCCCTAGATCGAAGCCAAGCTCCGCTGCCACTGTGGACAGCGAAGCTCAAACCACGGCAGCTAGCGGATCTTTCCTGCTTCCATGAACGAAACGCTCAAAGTACGGGTAACAGTCAGGGCCCCTATGGATTGGGCCATACGGCCAGCACATGAAGAAGGTCAAACCCTACACGTTCCGCAGGTCTCATGTTCACAAGTAGGTAGAAGCTACTAGAAACATTGTGAAGTCTGCTTTCCATCCGAACCGGAGCTACCCTCAACAGCAACACCCTCCGAAGTGGCTCATCTTGGCACCCTCCGTGCCCTCCAGCGGGATCACCGTTTCTTTGAAGGTGGTCCTGAGGAGGGGAGCTGGCCCAGCCCCCAAGCTCCATTACTATCATTACTTCAAGTCTCATCGAAGCCAAATGCCCATTCCACAAGCAATTTGGTGAGCATGACATGAGATTTGGAGCCAATCCACGGGCCATTAGGTGCCGTGACAAGTGGTGGCAATTCTTCAAGCCGACCCGGCATCAAATGTCATAGCTCCCATGCTTCAGGCACGCGGCTCCAAGTAGCGCTTGGCCCACTCGTCCCGGTTCTTCTCATCCCACGCCATGGCACTGGATGTGGGATTTGTGAAGTCTAAGGCTAAGGCTCGATGACAGTTGAGGCGGTGTGCACGGAGTCTACCATACTTCCTTCGTTTGGCAGCAGTGCTTGTAGAGCCTTACGCTTGCAACCCTCCACCGCCACAAAATAGTGGGTTGTCGTGCGAATCGTGCATGCAAACACAACACCGCAAAAATATGGATGGCATCATTTGCTGCAAATCTCAGCTGGTACAAGAGGCAAAGGAACTTGAGAGCACACCCCAACTCCACACACAGTTGCTGGAAGCCACAGTAACTTCTGAGGCATTTTGAAATCCAATCCCACTAGGAAAGGTTCCAGTTTTCGTGCTAGACTGGAGAGGCCAAGGATACAAAGGAATCCCAAAAAGCATAAACTCCATACCAAGCAAAACTCCACATGTTTCCCCGGCTGTTCACCGTTGTTCGACTGCCCCTCTGGGCGCCCACCAGCTCGAAGTGGTAGTGATCCACCACGGCGATGACCGCCTTCTCTGAGGAGACCTTCACGGTCCTGTGTAGAAAATGGCGACCATCGGAATGGACCGGTCGACGGCATCGAGGCTCAGCTTGAGCCCCCCCAAGGAAACTGGCCAAGGGCTGGCAGAAACGGCCCAGTTGTAGATGTTGCAGTGGATATTCTTCTACATGCGAGAAAATGCGTGATTCGTACAAAAGCCTTGACTCACTGGGCCTTGGTCTACTGAAACTACGCTCAAAGCTCCTCACTACCGCAAATAAAGACCTTTTGCGATCCCTTCCTTGTGGCCGCGATATCCTCGATGAGCTGCTTCTCACCCACCCTCAATGGCCACTCACACTCAGCCGGTCGACGACGAGGTGCGACATGTTTCAGCCAGGGCCCAAAAGAATGAAGGCGGGTGGCTCGGGCCCCGAGCCAGTCTCCCTTCATGAGGCCTTTCTTTGCCTGATGGAGATGTCACCGATCTCTAGCTCATGGGTGCGGAATATGATGGAATATGGTGAGTCACAACAATCAACAGCTGATCTTTGTTTTTCTGATCGTCCGGATCGTGGCCTCGGCCTCCTGCTCTTTCTCCTCGTCACAATCAACCACCGTGCAGAAGCCTAGCAGGCCAACGGGCAAGGTCACAGTTTTCTTGGGCATCCTCCCAGGGCTGAAGAAGGCCTGGGATGGCCTTGAGGTCTTTCGCTTCCACGGCCAAGCCCGTATTCACCCTGACACCACGAACCTCCGACTAAGATCGCCACCTCCCTGCTGCCCTCACGGACGACTGAGATCACCCTCCGACCGCCTGACTGAAGGAGGAACAGCTTGCCAACATCTTCGCCTGTCAATGGGTCAACATTAGTCTATACGGTCATGCGTGGGCTTGCACGATTGCAACAAGCAGCCAAGCAGCCTTTCACACAGACCACCTCATCTTCGTAGAGAACGATCTCCTGTGCTTGTTGTGCACGTTGCATCCATGCAAATCCAGTCAATGCAGTTGCTCACGTGGCTAACACGATACCAAGAGAGAAAACTGTTCACCATGCCGTAGAACCACATTGTGAACATGGAAAGGCGCAAGACGTTGGGCACCAGGTCACCGTCGCCGTCTGGTGAGTCACAAGCCCCCGAGTTGTCTTGCACAAGTCAACGGCACCTTCCGAATTCCCATGGCCACGTCCCTGGCCTCGACGGCACCGGCCAGCACAGACATCAAGGAGAGGTCGATCTCAGTGGGCCAAGTTGAAGTCTCACAAAATCAGAGGCCCCCTGCTAGTGGGTCTTCCGTCGGGATTGAGGCTTTTAGCCACCATCGACAGTAGTTTGTGGGCTGTTACAGGGTCGGGGTCACCTATATATATATATATACTCTATATGCATTTCCCACTGTGTTCTTCAGTGACCAGCTGGACTTCAGAGTCTCAGTGCCTCCCCTAAGCATCATCTCTGGTCTAAAGTCTGAAGTCTGGCCTACAGTGCAGAATCCGACCTGCTGCTGGATGCTTGGAACGTTGTGCAGCATCATGCTGTACCTTGGGTCAAATCCCTGTCGCGGTGTTCAAGATATGGGGAGACAACGCATAAGCTACAACAGTCATCTGAACATTCGGCGCCGCCGGCACACAACATCTGCTGCTGGGTGGCTCCTTCATCTTATGCAGAGTGGTCTCCTGTAGCATCTCCTGCAAATGGTGAGGCTCAGCAGAGGCCACGAAGCTCACACGGTGTCTGTTGAATTTGGTCCAACGGCAGAACTGATGCAGTAGAAATATCAGGATGGTCCAACACATACGGTCCCCAAGAGGAGAACCGACACTTTCGCTAAAATGCTAGCATGACTTGCATTTCGCCCGCTTGTTGTGCGACTTGCAACCAGGGCTGAGTGTTGGGTTGTCAATGCTTCCAGCTCCAGCCCTTGCCGCTGCAGCTACAACCAATCATGCGGATTGAGTGCAAGTTGCTTGGCCCACGTAGCTGTCCGCCCCCCAGCCGCACTGCCTTGAAGGCGGCGCGTGGCAAGACCCATAACCTGCGGAAGAACAGCGTGGGACCTCGCACACCCCTCAATCGCTGGAAGAAAGCACCCAAGCGACAGTCTGGGATCATCGTTCATGTCGAAGAGAGCAGGTCAGGCCACTGGGATTAAATTCCCAACTGCCTGAGGCGAGTGCCTTCCCCCGTTATGTTTCCTCTTGAACCTTGGAGCTTTACTTGTCGCTGACCGGCAGATCAAACCCAGGTCCAGCCTACAATCTCGCGTCGCAAAGATGGTGGCCTCAGGCTCACGAAAGGGTGGGAATCACATGAGGCATCCACTACATCCGCCATTTTGACAATCCCTCACGCAAGAATCTCTTCAGGGTGATGGTTGGGCGTGGATGGTGTCCCAGGGGAGCCGCTGCAACACTCTCCAAACAGCGGTTCAACAAAGTCATGCCTAAGTGATGCCTGCAACCCATGCCACGATGGCAATGCAACTTCAAAAGTCATGCCTAAGCCCTTCCCTTCAGTCGTTCCCCAATGGCAACGCTGCCGGACTAAGATGTTCAAAGTAATGAGAAATAGGTGAATTGGGAATGTGCTACAATGAGACTGGGTCTCCCGCCCGGCGCCCTTTCGGGGGAAGTGGTCCTAGACCCATCAAGACATATGTTCAGTTGGGCTCCTTAAGTAGCATAGCCGCTGGCATAGCCTCTAATACTGGGTGGACAGCTACGAGCACGTAAAGATGCCAATCCTTCCAGAGCCTATAGCCATGAATTTGGGGGATGCCCACAACATCCCACGACCCTGGCTTCACCTGCTCTCTGGGAGGTCCCTAGCCGACCGCGGCTCGTCGTAGAGCAGCGACAGCTCCCCAAAGACGTCGCCCAAGCGAAGCCTAAAGCCAAGCGAAGCCTAGTTATGACTTCAAACGTCCCAAGAAGTTCAAAACTTGTTGGAAAAGGGCCGCGACTTAATTTTGAATTGTTTTCTTTGTTGGATTTTTTTTGTTTTTCGTGTTTCGTGGCAGGTGCAGTACTTTGTGGACCTTGCAAAGCACATTTCGTGGCAGGTGCAGGACTTTGTGGGCCTTGGAGCGCAGATTTCGTGGCAGGCGCAAGACTTTGTCGACCTTGAAGTGCAGATTTCGTGGCAGGTGCAGTACTTTGTGTATGTTGAACTGCAGAAAGATAGAAAGATAGAAAGATAAGTGGATAGATAGATAGATAGATTAGATTTGATTTGATTTGCTTTGATTAGATTAGATTAGATTAGATAAGATAGATAGATAGAGGAGGCATATTTGCTTGGTTAGAAAGTTTTGCACCGGGGAGTTCACCTAAAAATATTGATTTCGTGGCAGGCGCGGGTGTCGGGGATGAAGTGCAGATTTCGTGGCGCAGGGGGGGTTGGGGGGGGGCGCTGCGCCCCCAGCAGCACACCAGATCCAAAGGTGAGCAGCTCGTGCTTGCTTGCTTGCTTCCTTGTTTGGTTTCGTCTCTGCAACGCAAACAACAGGAAAAGCAAATACAAAAAGAGAAAGGAGAACAGCTGCCAAAAAGAAAGAAAGATAGATAGATAGATAGGTATAGACAGATAGATGGATAGGCCAAAAAGCCAAAAGCCACAAAAGCCAAAAGCCACAGAAGCCACGAAAGCCACGAAAGCCAAAAGCCACAAAAGCCAGAAGCCACAGAAGCCAAAAGCCACAAAAGCCAGAAGCCACGAAAAACAAAAAAAAATCCAAAAAAGGAAACAAAAAAAATCCAAAATTAAATGGCCCTCCGTTGGAAAAAGGTTGAACAGCTGCTGGACTGACACGCACCGTACGCAAAAAGAATGCCTCTCCTTCACCTCACATCCCACGACTCTCGTCGACAGGGTGGACGTCGAGTGGGTCGAGTGAGTCACTTGCGACTCGTCCCGGGTGCCCCGAGCACCACTTCGATGCTGCCCAGATCGACCTGTCCAGCTCGAGAGACGAGGCGACAGGTCGAGGATAATAGAAAGCGAGGTCTCAGAGCACTGGCGATATCAAGGTCAACTTGTTGGGGGTCAACGAGCATCACAGTGAGCGAAAGCTAGTGCAAGAACGGAGGAAATGCTTGTCATTACCCAAGCAAGAATAACTTTGGATAGCACGTTTGTTTGGCGGAAGGGGCTCACACGACCAGCACCACCGGATTGAATGCTATCTTGTGCTTTTGATTGCTGCAAGGGTATGGGATAGGGACGAGGATGCATGAGGAGCGTTCATTCATAATCAATTATTGATGCCATGTTGAAAATCACATTTCGGATTGTGAATGAAGGCCCGCACCAACCTCCCAGCAAAAAGTGAAAGGCAGCCTTGAGCATGCCCGAGTGGACAATGAAGAGGGCATTGCCAATATCACCCTTCCTGGCAATTGTTCAAAGATGATGATCGAGTTAAAAGTTCTGTCTTCGTGACCCAGCTCAGCACTAAGACATATTTATCACCTGCCCCCCAACAAAAAGGGTACACAAGAGATGTTGCATGGGAGGTTGCAGTTGGTACCTAGTCCAGTCAATATGGCATTCCTTGGGCTGT